ATGATATATTAGTTATAAAACATAGCGCTCCTACGTACATGTACGCCAGAGATTGCGTAGCGCTAGACTGAACACGACTCCGAATATCATGGCTATCTGACTGATTTTAATGACTCGCTTTATTTCCACTGTTGCTTTCTTTATAACGAAAATAATTAAAAAGAAACAAGTCAATACTTGACGTTCTTACGGTGAAGGAAAACATCGTGATGCAATCTGCACATATGGCGAAGAAATTCAAAGATACGTGTAAAGTCAACTAACCCGTAGTGAACCAGCGTGGTTGACAAAGCCCTAGTCACCGTACCTGAGGGTAGTCTCCAAACCCCTCGGTGGGAACGAGCTATCTGATGGTGGTGGTCAAGCCAATTGCGTCACTTTTTTTCATCATAAAGTACATTTATGACTTAACAATTTTCACGAGTATTTAAACAATGCTCGATTATTTCGTAAGTTAGTGAATACAATTGAGGTCGTTAGAAGCTTAATGCTATTCATTTACTGGGACATTTAGACAAGGCAAGACTAAGTTCTGTCCTAGACGGAACATTTAGCTAAATACGAGTACATGTTGGTAAGCCGTGAGATTCTATTTTCAAAACTTAAAAAAAAACATGCTGTGGTTTCCTTTCAGTCTTTTAAACAATATTATTTTTTCACAACAACATGAAGACGTAAACGACAGCTAACATGTAATAAAATACCCTTAAAAACCAATTTATTGATTTTAAATGAAATTTTCATGTGGTTACAAAGCTGTACAATATAACTGTCTACAATAATGAGTTTCGAATGTCATTTATTTAGCAAATAGGATACATTTATAGGCGTTAATAAGGATATAAACAACGCGTGCGGATTTCCTATAACCACAAATCATAAATTGTGTCAACAAAATATTATAAATGCGTAATTTCTAACAATGGAAACAAATTTAGTTGTTGTAATGGTTAAATATTCATAATGTTTCATTATGTTTGGTTAAAACTCAATGATTTTTGATATACTCCTCAAGTTGCATTTTAACTAATCTTTATTTTGTAATAATTAATACAAGTTATTATCGAGAGAAACAAGGCGGCGTCGATGGCAGGCGGCGGCGGCGGCGGCGGCGGCGCCCGACGCAAATCTGATGCATAATGAGACCTCTCCAGAAACTTCATGCTAATAACTCTTCATATTTCCTTAAAGCTATTTTCTTAAAGTCTTAATTAAAGGCTAAAGTAATTTATTAAAACAAGGAAAAACCACATTGAATCTTTATGAAGATCCGTAATAGATAATTTAGTAGCAAATACCATCCAAAATCAAATTACCAGAGATTGGAAATATAAACGTGGTATTAATATAATTGGAAATGCTAGATTCGTTGGAATATCTCACGTACCAGGACTTTGGTTGTTGGAAATCAAATAAGCTGATTTAATTACAAAGCCACGGTTGTTAGGGTACTACGTAGATTTAAGGTTTAAAGATTGGTCGATATTCAAAATTATTTTTCTAGTATTATGGGTTTATTAACTTTCTCTGGAGCAACCCAATGTTTATCTTGACTTCCTGCAAAAGAGAACGAAAACATCGCCTGTCCTATACGACCTCGTGCCAGTATCAATGGTGTTGTATTTATTAATTCCATTGCAAACACAAGATTTAGTCGTGTTACATCAAAAAGCGCTCTTTTTAGGATCTATCATAGTTAAATATCGACCCTCATCTTTAATAGGTATACTATTATTAAAGTATGGATATATGTCTATTGTAAAATAAGCTTGAAGCTGTAGTTAAAATTTAGTATCGTATCAAAAAGAAATCATCGAAAAGAATCCACCTCACGATTGTGACTGAAATGTGGAGCGGATATGTTATGTACGACCATGTGAGCACGTATCGGACGAGTATAGAGAGCTTCCAAATATGTGCCACTTACAAAGATCAATATCCGATATTCAAAAGAACAGTCAGTAAATTTAAGATAAAAGAATGCACTTTACGAAAAACGGGACAAACTGCCTACGAAATCGACTATGCATAAGAACTGCTGTTATTGTCCTCTTCCACCAATGTCCAAAGAAGGCTGCGGTCAGAGAAGAGGAGTGGTAAAGCAGAGAAGAAGAAATTCAAAGTCTAGAATGATCACTTGTAAAAATGTCCAATGAACTGGCTAAATTAATGGCTTCAATTTTCCTCCAAGTATCGTTTGTGACTAAACAAACTCGGTTTAAACCAAATATCCGTTAACTCTAGTAGGGTTACGTACGTCAGCCACAGAATCTTTAGATCTACATACCGCTGCAGGGTAATACGCGTTTGTTAGCCGCCAACAGGAACAAAAAATATCCCTCGTTCTCTTTAGAAGCATGTAATTGAATTCCATTTGAATCAAGTCTTGTGCTGAATTCCTATTTTATTGATCTGCATATTTTCGGATCGTTCCGTTTTTTGCAAATAGATTTAGAAAAGTTGGACAGTTTGCTTAAAACTTGATTGGCCTAACTAGAATTTATTTGATACTTTTTAGTTTGTTTAAAATCTAATAAAAATAGCAAATTATGTGTTACTTACTAACACATATTTGAACATTAACTTAATTAAACTACACTAACACATTAGACATGCTCTGCTATCGACGTACGCTCTTAATTTTAACAATATTTGAGGACGCCGTAATAGAAACGTGATCGCACATGCGTTAGCTGAAATTATACTCAAAATTTAGAAACAAAAAGCTTATAAAACATACATTTATAACATCGTTTGAAATTCACTAAGATTATTAAAATGTTAAAATCATTTTTCATGTCAATATGTCTTAATAGACTCTAATTGAAAGATTTAATAATGCATCTTAATTCTAAACTCTGGTTTCTGCCAATCAATTATATCAAAGCATGTTTTTAATAATAAACTATTTCACAACTGTTTACGTACAACAGAATACCCAATAATAGCGAGTGTAGTAACAGCTGTGTTAACATTTTGAATGCAATTAAACATTTTCGCGCCGCATCTAAACATCACGTTTGGCCGCGCTCATTTATTATTCGAATAATGCTATATTATTGTTTATCAGTAGTAATATGACTTTATTATATTTCAGTATTGTTTTTAAAAAATGTATAATGTGAGCAGTGACCGTATTTGTGAGTATACATATATGTAGGCGTATGCGTGGGCGTTAGTATAGGCATAGGTGTAGGCGGCGACGTTGATATAGACGTAGGTGATGATATAGACGTCAATGTAACTCGTAGTCTCTAAAATTGTTAAATGGATATTGTAAAAATAGGCATAAATCAAAAACGAAAAGACGCTTGAGCCTCAACATACTAAATTTTGAAATTTTTCATCTGAATATTGTTAACGGATGTAATATCTTCAACGCACCTGGCGCTCTAAACCGGTTTAATAACGTTACGTTTAATATTAATACTTAAATATTATATTAGATGTAATATTGCTAAATATGCTCACATTTAGATGATACTTGAAACATTAACTCTATATTCTACATCTTTACATAGATTTTGTTTAACAACCTCGGAAATAAGAGGTTGATTAAAGATTACAATTATAGAGATAAAACGAGAAATTATGATAATTATTGAATTTGAGTTTAGGCGTTTTTCAGGGCAGTCGCGGAATTTAAAAAAGAAAAACTAAGATAAACAAAAATTCAACAAAGTCTATGAAACTTTTTTCACGTAATAGCAGGACTTATATTAGTAAGTAAAGAGTTTATTACATAACTGACATGCTTCAAAAAACTGATGTACAGATTCAATCAAGTAGAATATGGTAGATATTATAACGACTGCTTGGTATCTACGTCTCGTATTGAAACTCGCACAAAGCGCTTTGATGGCTGCCGGCTTGAATATGTAATAGACACGTTTCGATCTGGTGAGGGATAACCGAAATTTTAAATACGTTTCAAAATTTTTCGTTACGTCATAAATATTTTTATCATAGTGGCAAAGCGAAAGCTGCCACATGATTTATAGATATGATCGACGCAAATGCTCTGTGCAAATTACCAAATATAGTAGTAATAATTGGTAGAATTATAAATGAGTTTGAAATAAAACAATGCTAATGTGTAAACCATTTTATTGGAGGCAGAATATGTGTTAACACTTATAACAATCTGTGTATACCTGAAGTTGAATTATAACCTATATACAAAATGATTTTGGAAATGTTTTTAATTAAGTCATTTTTATAAAATTTCATAATCAAACAATGGAATAAACTTTTAATTGTTGAGTGCAATTTTTAAGCACTAAATTAAAAACAATAGTATCAACATTATTTAAATAATTTTTCATCTGGCACGTATTTTAAATTACTTTATAATATGTTTTTGAATGCAGCTTTACAAGCACGCCATTGCAACATCAGTGTTAAAAATATTATATGATTAATCGTTACATTTTAAACTATATAAAAACGCAATTGAAAGAATATCTACAGCAAATTCAGTCTTCCTGTATACATTTGATATCTAAGTTTAAGAAAACTACGGATACAGCGATATCTAAAATTGACCAACGAAACTAGTTAATTGAATCAGGCGCTGCAACATTCATATCCAAAAAAGTAAATTAAATTTTCGCTTCTTATTTACAAGAAACTCACATCTTTTAGTTATTTCCTGGAAATGCAATTATAACAATTGGAGAAATTGCCAGTTCTTAATCGTCGTTTGAATTTAATTTACTTTTTGCAAACTTCCAATCTTTGTTAGATTTTGATACAAACTTGAATTTCAATCAATCTAAGTTTTTTTTACAAAGGCAATTAATGTTAACTATTTAATTTTAAAAAAAGATTTTGGTATAATTATTTCTGAACATACTAATATTGTCGTAGTTTTTTATATAAAGAGTTACTTTGTCTGTAATTATATAATTATGTACGTAACTATCTTATAAAATAAAGAACAATAACTTAATATCTTAATGTAATAGTTTACAAAATAACATTAAATGAACAGATACGGAAAATAATGAAATGTGAAATTAAATAATTGAATACGAAAATGAATTCTGTAAATATGATGTTCGGTGGAGTTATTGCAAAAAACTTGTAACATACAACCTCGCGATTTTGACAGAAATGTACTATATGTATTTGTAATAATTTGTGACCAAGGAATTTAATTAAAATATATATTATTGAAATTATAATTTGAGTATAATTCGCACTTGGTCAGTAGTTTTTTTAAATGCGCCCCTTAAATCTACGAAAGCAAAACATGGACGCAAACTGTGCACCTACACAAACGTAATATATGAAACTTAAACATTTAAATAATGTTCACTTTAAGTAAGATAGGAATTAGTCTTTTAATTACTATTTCTTTCTTACATTAAGGAAACATTTTACATATAACCTAATTTTAAAATTTAGGCCTTTATATATATATGAACACGTATTTAATTTGCAATAATAGACACCTTAACATAAACTGCGTTTTATTTACACAAGGCGTGGAATGCATTCGTACAACTTAAAAGTAACTTAATTATTTCTTAATTAAAATGAAATTGAATTGGTTTACGGACATAGATATAGTTACAACTCTGTTGAAATAGTAGCGACTAGATAAAACATCGTTTTTTATTAAACATTTATATTTATTATATCTACACATTCATCACTTTCGAAGCGTTGTTAACAAATAGTTGCAACATTTATCAACTAATAACTACGAAATTACAACATAGAATATGTCAAAAATAACCTGAAGAATTTAAGAAATTATTATGCAAACATTGACGGTCAACATTTTAAATATTGACTATAGCTAGAAGAGCTGCGATGAGCAACGTTAGTGACGCAATGAATTTGATAGCTTTGTCCGTGGTTCTAATATCAGCGGAGATGATGTCCACCCATTCCGAGTGGCCGGCTGCATTGCGCGTCCGCACTCGAGCGTGGAAGGTCGTGCTGTTTGGCAGGGGGCCAACCGTGAACAGCGTTTCTGCACATAATTAAAAAGTAGTCAACATAGTCTTTGATTTCTTATAAACTCTTCTCTTAAATATATTTACCATTGCCATTTTCAATGTCAATATCGAACAGCGAAGCAGTGTCCCATTCGGGAAGGAAACCCTCTCGCGCCGGTACTAGCTCAAATGAGTAACCTGAAATTAAAGTAATATTGTCAGTCGTAGAATTAAATAATAATAAAATGTATATCAATCAAATCATTTGTAAAGTGATCACCATACATAAATAGACTACCGTAAACTACTTCGCGCTATAGGATAAAACAACTCATTCTTGTACATACACTCATTTTTGTATCACATACTTCATCGTAACGCCTTTTTACTGCCTCTTCAGTCATACTATCTCTTAAGTTATGCTCGTTGTTTTAATATAAAGTGAATGCAGTATTTATACCAATAACAACAAGGTTTTCTGGATCGGGAGCTTTTTCAGATTCAAAATCCATATTGCAAGTGAAGCAGGTCACGTTGAAGGTTATTGTGCTCACATTGGACGCGTACACGCCCGCCTGGAACAAACAAGTATTATTTAGTACGATATGCCTAATTCATTATAATATATTTGTTGGTTAGACAGCATAAAATACTGGAGCTCTCTGTCCCTTAGGGAAGATTAAATAAAGGAAATCATGCTTAAGTGACTGTTTAGTGACTGAGTAAGACAGTAAGACTTACTTCATCGGGAGGATTTGGTTTATTGCCTTCAGTAACGTGGAATACAATCGAAGCTTCCCCTTTTAGATTCTTCGCAGTGCATTTGTACTCTCCGTAAATAGTTTCATTGTACATCCTGAGCACTAGAACAGAGACGTTGCCGCGGGGTGACGTCACCACCTAACAGAAAAAAAAACAAATTAAATTATGTGGTAGTTGACACTTGGTTTTACTTGGATTATGTAGTACATTACCATATCTTCGTCTTCAATTGGCTCTTCAAAACCATTTTCATATCGTCTGAACCAACGGAACGTTGGAACTGGGTGAGCAATAGCACTGCACGAAATATTCTTTCTGAAATTCAAAAGTCGACTGAAAAATTCTTATTTTTCTAAGTACAGAAAAGATATTTCTAAAAATATCCTGAGTTCTGAGGATAATAAGTTATCCAACAATAGTCTAAATATGTACTTTCTTCTTTTGTTTTAAAGTGTACAAAATTGAGTGTTCAATAAGTTTTATTATGTTTACAGACTTACGTTTCATTTAAAATTGCATACACTTCCTCTGTTCTATATGTTGATGTTGGATAAATTTCTTCTGTGTCACTGTTAAACATGATCGGTTTATCTGAAACAATAAATATCATCTCTCTTACGTCCATCATTAATATAATTTATTGTTGAGTTAAACTTATTGTGCTACTTACGCTGAACAGTAAGCTGTACTCGTTTGTCCGTGTAATATCGCAGAGAGTTTTGTGTAACTTTGCACACATATTCACCAGTGTCTCTATGATTTAGTTCTTTGATCTCTAGTTGATAATTATCCCTAATCTTCCTTACAACGTATTTCTTGGATTTATCTTTAAAATATAATAAAACGTTATTAGTAATATTGCAATTTTGGTCAAATGTACAATTAATGTATGTTTATTACCAGATAATACTTGAATATCCTTGTACCATTGCACAACAGGTTGTGGTTTTCCTTTTGCTTCACAATTTAGTTTGACTGATTTGCCTTCTTCACCTTCGAAGCTCTCAAAGCGATTTGTAATATTGACTCTTTCTAAAATGTTAAAGTAACTTTAACGTTTTGATAATAAATACTAAGTTGTCTTTTATTTTGGTGAACTTGCAAAATCTTTTTCATTTAGCGTAATAAATTAACTCTAACAGCACAATTTTATTGGATCTTAAGATTTTTATCAGATATTAAGATAATTTAACAAAAAACTAACCTCCTACTAGAATCTCAATAGTTTCATTGAGCTCGCCAGCTTTACAAGTCCAGTTGCCGCTGTCTTCGATCTTTAGGCTGTGAATTATGAGAGGCAGCAGGCTGTCATTCTTCTGCCTCTCTACGTACACCCTGGTGTTTGTGGTAGATCGACCCTCGACGGCTTCGCCGGAGGGCGAATACCATTCTAAGTTCTACAAGAAAACAATTAAAAATAGCAAGGACTACTATTATAGATTGAACCAAATTCAATAATAAGTCATGCGTAATCCTAGGATTTAATTTAGCACTATTAAACTGAACTGTAAATTAAAAAATCATTTATTTAGTTACTAACCTGTTGAAGATTTTTTCCCTTGCAGTAAATAGCTTTCTTCTCTCCGGCATTGTACACAGACGATCTTGCTAAAACTCGAAGACTGGGGGCGTCATCACTATCTTCCGCTGTTATTACTGTAAATAAATACATGATTTAACAAACAATTTGTTATTCACTTCATAGATACTATACTATCATTTTGTTATTAAACATTTTTATTAGAATATAATTTTAAACATGAAATGAAAAAAGATGAAACGAAAGTTGGCTTCTAAAATTTCTACTCAAAAAGTTACTAAGTTCTGTATACATATTTTCAGGAAACATTAAGAACACGTGAAGTAGTCAAAGTTGTACCTGAGTGTCAAGTTCGTAGCTGCGTCTAAACGCCGAGCAACTCCATTAGCAAATTGAACTTCTGAACACTCTTAGACATACGATGAGATTATATGAAGACGTTAATTTAATTAAAAGCTCCTTCCAGGTGACCTTGTATCAAGGAATTTAAACTTTTTCATAGATATGTTCAAGGTAAGCAACTTTAAAGATTTGAATAGCTTTCAACTTAATGAATGAAATCTCTTTACAACGTTTAAATGAGACTTTATTAGAAAATGAAATACGAAGGCGCTCTTCTTTTCCTTCTCAAAATCGTCTATCACTAGCATAAGTAATTTATCGTGGAACGAAGTAACAGTTCTGCGTATCCCTGTGGAGTGATAGAAACTTATTCACTGCTTTCCAAGGACTCATTGGATTCGTATTCTTCTGAGAAATTTTATTGGAATATGGGCATTTCGATTTTTTTGTTTGTAGAAGTCGACTTCTATGATCTTTGATTAAGTAACAACTTTATTTATATCAGACATAAAATACATTTGTTTCTTTTCTATTAAGACTTCGTTTAGGATTATCGTGTTTAGTTCAATTTATGGTAACCCGAGCACATAAAGAGGCTTACAGTGTAAAAGCGATAAGACCTAGGCATCCTTAGGATTAACGATTCACAAAGTGTTGTTGTTAAAATTCATTTAAGCAAACTATATACCTATTTATATTACATACATGTTATAGATTATTTTAATGCATATGTATGTGTTGTAATATATTTTTTGATATGTAACTTGTTTTCGTTGTCGAATTCTCCTTGACTCCTATGATTTGTTTGTGCGTATGATTAGTTAAATTAAATGGGCCTTGAAGAGTAGTCAAATCAATAAAATACCACAAACTTCTATTGCGTTAGAATTGGTTGGATTTTTGATTGTTTGAGTAAAAAAATCCTCTTTTTAACTTAGAAAAAGACTTTTACTAAATTATCAATTAAGTTTATTTAAAAATGTAGATAAATGTACGTTAAATGATCGGTATTTTTCTATTCATCGTTTATGCTACAAACAAAAGGATATTTTTATTTAAAAAAAATAATATGAAAGAGAAACGTCCACTGGATTTAAAACACTCCGAACACAAAAAGGCATACACCGTATTGTTTTGTTTGCTTATTGTTATATGCCAGCTTTAGTTCTGTATTGTAAAGTTTTGTCAATAAAGTTAATTATTAGATTAATTAATACAAAAATATAGAAAATCAATGAATACATTCTTATTTGATAATATCGTAAAAAAATGGGATCATTGAAAAGTTGAATTAACTAATTTGATATTCGACTATAGCAATAAGCAAAATGTGATGAATAGAACAAATTACTGAAATTTCTTCCATTACTGTAACAAAACACGATAAAACTCTTTGCTGAAACTGCTGCATTTATTTTTTGATCGTATTTAAAATTCATTTTCTCAGACTTCACTTCAATTTAACCAATCACTCATACACAGACGCGGCGCTAAGAGAATTTGCATTTCAAATTCAGTATATTGCATACATTGTTTTCTAAAATAAACAACTTAGACGATAAAAGTAGTGCATTGCAATAAATTTTATTTCAAAGATAAAATTGTGGTTTGTACTTGACCGAAGAAAGTAAGAATAGATTATGTGTAAGAGGATATGCTTAAAAAGGAAGATAATCAGATTGACGGCTGATAGAAATGCATGAAAGACCACCTAATACTGTGCTGACCCTCTATAGGGACAAGGACAAGATGATGATGACTTGACTTATTTCATATAACTTATTATTAATTAGCTGATGCTCGCGACTTCGCCCGCGTGAAATTCTAAAAATAATACAAAATGTAGCCTATATTACTCACAGATAAATTACCATTCTTATGGAAAAAGAATTTTTAAAATCGGCCCAGTAGTTTTGCGTGAATCAAATACATACAAAAATATAAATCTTTCCTCTTCATAATATTAGTATAGACGAACTACAATAGTTAAATACTTATTAGTCAAATAGTTGGTCATAAATAACCAACAGCAATATACTCTATCTAGTATTCAATGTCTGTAGTATGTTGGAAAAACGTTTATCAAATGACCAACCATACAGCAGGCAATAAGAGAATCTATTCACTCGCACCAAATATTATCTTCTACAAACATTCTCACATTTCTAATACGCTCCATTACAACTTATAGCAAAAACCAATTTCGTTCAACAATCACATCCAATTTCATTGAGAAAAAAATCTCGGCAGGTCGAAATAAGTGCTACGGATTGTACATCTATTGCAAAAGGATTTCAAGTTCTTAATCAATTCCGAAACTCGATTTTAGTGCTACGGAAAGTTGATTTCAGGTGTTTTTTTGGAATAAAGGTCCTGTCTATAATCAAGTCAAATTCTTACACGATTGTATTTATAACGCAGCATTCGTACAACATTTGAATTTTAGGCACATAACACGTTTTTCTCGTCTTTTATTTATTATCAGGACTGGCTGAATCAGTACTGAATACACCGCTTTAATACTCCAAAGATCTCTATATAAATCAGTAAGTCCCAGGTAATAAATATTTTGTCTATGGAAGGCACGCGTTGACCTTTCCTTATGTATGAAAAATGGCGTCCCATTCACTAACACTCTTAAATGATAGACCCTTTTGCATATATCAGTAACAGGGATTTAAACCTTACTTTAGTAATGCTAGTGCATAACATTAAAAAAATATGTAAAAAAAAGCAGTAATTTCTAGTTGATATTTTTCCACTTATGTATGTTTATGAACAGCCAACCCCGTTGATGCTTTTTTAATCTCTGTTAAAATATAATATACACGCCTTAAACAAAACAAGTAAATAATTTTATTCAGTAAAAGACAGACATTATGTTTTTCTTTACAACCACAATGTACGGTACGGTACGTTCGTAACACTTTTGGGATAAAAAGGTCGCCTGAACGTAAGATTATGGCTTCATCAATTTGATATTCTCAAGAAATAGGATCCATTACGTTCGCCTTGGATTTTATAATTTAATATTTTGTAACATACCTAAAATTTATAAAACCCAGACTTTCTAAGGATTTATTTAGCTTTTCTTTTAAATTAACCTTGAAGTAGTAATATGAAAGTATTTCGTAATACGTTATTAAACCAAATGCCACAACAAAAATTCTACATAAACAAGTTATCTCCAAGTTATTCGACACAAGCATTAGCTATCTCAGTACCAATTTGCTCACAAGTATTAGAATCAAAAAATATTTTCATAAAAGTATCTAAACTAAATATTAAATAGGTCAGAGAATGTCAGAAAAACAGTTAAGTTATTTTTTCGTCGTTACTTATCAGAATCCAATTACTTAAATTTTTATCCGCTATAAAGGAACCTCGAGTAATTAGTAACCCTCGGAATTATGGCCCATGGGCGTGTTTTATTACGTACCATTGGATAAACAACCTTCCGTTTGCCAAACTGGTGAAAAACTGAAGTTTTTGCACGTTGCCCATAAAGGTAAATTATAAGCGGTGAAATACACAACAAAAATACCTTTATACATATGTATGTAAACAAAAAGATTTATTGTAAGGTAGTCTCGAATACAGAATACCCTGTTGTATGAAATGTTTTTTACGATATTCGTGCCAATGCGTAAATCGTCACAAAACACCAAAAAGGTTTAGTTAATAATAAGAAAATAGTTAAGAAAATTCAGACGGACTATGCAACGATAAAGCCACAAGTTATCTCCTTATCCCTTAGGTTCACGGACATTTTTAAACACACCTGGCTTAATTACTGTAACAGTAAATATATTATAAACATCAAGTTATTGCGGAACCAGTTATGGTGTAACGTCTCTCGTACGTTGCAAATGATAATAGATTTACAGCACCGCAAGTGCTTCATCCGATTACAGAGAAAAGGGTCTCCTTATCATACTCGTTGCTCCAGCTAAAGAAACAACGTGTCTCTAACACGTGACATTAGTATGATAATTCAATTATTTTCGAAATCCTTTTTAATATCATTTAATTACTGTGTTTAGATAACATTGCAACGTACGCTTTGCAAGTTGTAGAAAAACATTATTTTCTATCAAACGCGTTCAACATTCACATCTTCAAAATTCAGCAAAACAAATAAAAGAATTTATGTCAGCTTTATTGACGGTGTAATTTTTTGAACATAAATGTCTATTACAAAGGCCTATTAAACAGACGAATTTATCTGGTAAATTCATACTGGGTAAGTAATAACGTCGTAACGAGGCAGGCAGATGGCGCGTCTTCTGCCGATGCCGAATACTGCATAATGTGCCCTCTTTCAATTCCAAACACTCACAACTCTCGCAGTTCAGACCGTCATTTTCACAATCACGTTTAATTTACAGCTAACAACAATTTGGGAGCAACGCTACACTGTTCTATTGTTATTTCCATAAATACAAAGCTCCGCCGCACAACGTTATGAATTCGAAACAAACGTTTCCTGTACGTAACAAAATTGAAATGAATTTGCCGAAGTTGGAAATTAATTGATTGATATTAGTATTAAACCTTTTGCTTTTGTTACTTTACAAATTAGACTTTATTTGTTTACAAATTCGATATTAGATTTTAAATAACCTTAATGTTTTTCCACATTTTTCGTTGTAACCTTTAAAGGTTCTTAAGGACTTCTTAAGAAGTCAAAAATCACTTGTTGGAATTGAACAGCTGAAAGTCATCGAAGTATGTACACCATTCTTCATTACTGTAATTATAACAACTACAATAT